CACTTTAAGCTTTGACACAATCGAGTGTATCGGAGAACATATTGATTATTAAATGATGATGATTTTTTTTTTAACAACAATTCCTATTAGATATAAGACTTTATTATTTTTTCTTAGTATTTTCTCTTTTTATTTTCTTAATATTCCTACTCGTTAAAGGAACTACGAACTTAAAATAGCATTATTGTGGAGATTCTAGGATAAATAGTTAGTTATGTTTTGAAAAGTTATCGATCACCTAAGGATGCCATTTCCTAGAAAAGATACCACATCTAGGTTAGTCATAAATTCATTCCTTAACATATTTTATTCGTGTCAAATTATTTTTTGATTTAAACTCTAATTTTTCAAGCCAAAGTAAGTTTTTTTATTTTTGAACATGGTAACGTATTGAAACGATCGTCGGACCCTTCGTCAAGAGACATGTGGGTTCGGACATCGATTCACTTTAAGTTTTGACACAACCGATGTATCGGAGAACATACTAATTATTAAATGATAATGATTTTTTTTTTAACTATAATCTCTATCGGATAGAAGACTTTATTAATTTTTCTTAGCCTTTTCTCCTTTTATTTTCTTAATATTCCTTTTTTTTATCATTTTTATTTTTTTGTTGTTTTTTTTTAATCAATGGGGAATCATAATCAATTTCTAAGAATTAGAAAGCTCTACAATTCGCCACATATTAATTACCTAAACTGATTACTAAAATAAAAATCCATTATTACATTAATTGAATAAAAGAAAGGAAATTCAAACATTAAAATAGAAATTAAACATATATAAAATGAATTCAAGATTAAATGAGATAAAATTAAGGCTTTCTTAAAAGAAATATTTTTCCTTCTTTTTTGGATCCATGGGCCTTTGGCCCATTGGGCTAGCCCCACGAGATAGGAACTAACTACCTTTCTTCTCTTTCTTTCTTTTTGGATTGAACTGGGCTGGGATAAGCCCAGCCCATAATATTTCTTTTGGCGGGTTGGACTGGGCAGGAATCAGTCCAGCCCAAATTCTCCTCCCCTCTTTTTTTTTTTGCTTTCCCGAGCTTTCCAGCCCAATCCAACCTCACATGGGTTGGGCTTGGCCCAACCCATCTCCTTCAGCTGCCCTAAACCCACAAACGCTCCCCATTTCTCTTTTCCAAAATTTCGATCAAACTCTCCTCCTCCTTTCTCTCTTCTTCCCTTTCTTATCTCTGCATCGTCTCCATGAGCGAACCAGAGAACTCTTCTCTGGTTCATTGCTGCCTTCCCTTCCTAGAGGCTTCGCCTCTTCACTCTTCTTCTTCTCATGTTCTTCAAAGAGCGAACCTCTTCTTCCTCCGAAGCGAGCTTTGATTAAAAATCAAAATTCAACCCCCTTTGATCTTCGTCATCTTTCCCTTTTTGTTCTAAATGACTTGATTTCAAAGGAAATCAAGCCAAGTTAAACTCAATTGAGCCATCTTTACTTTTAAAAAAAAAATTCATTGTTAATTTAGAAACCCTAGGTTTCTTTCTAAATCAATTCAGCCTTCATTTGAGGCTTAAACCCTCAATTAAAGCCTTAGTCTTATTCAATTGATCCTCCTTCAAATCCTTTAATTCTCAATTTCAATTCAAATACAAAACCCCCTAATTTTCAAAAACCCTAACCACCTAAAACACCAAAATTCCAATTTTTGAAATTCAAACTCTGGGCTTGAATTCAATTCATCCTTCCATTTGAGTAGAACAAAAAAAAATAAAAAAAAGTGTGTGAGATTTGAGAAGGAAATTCGAGGATGGTAGTGATGAACACCACTGCCATCAAATCCTCTAAAAAAAGAAAAAACGAAAAAAGAATTTACATTGGGATGAATTAGGAGTGGATTACCTCAAGGATAGTTCGGATAGAGGATGAAGAAAATCCCTTGATGGATTACTGCTGCTCCAGCAAAATTGGGTAAAATCCTCTCCTCCTAGTTTTTTTTTTTTTTTTTTTTTTTTTTTTTTTTTGGTTTCTATTTTTTTTAATTGCCTTTCAATTCCAATAACTAGCCCCAATTTTATCTGTGATTGCTTCTGTGTTTTTCTTTGATTGTCTCTTTCAGTTTTTTTTTTAATACTAACTGCTATTACTACCGCCCTTTGATTTTTTTTTTTCCCTCAAATTTTAAAGAACCAACTCGCCTCCTCCTGTTCTGTGTTTGTTGCTACTATTTATATGAGAATTGTATTGATTGGTTCCTCACCGTTTGATGGTGTGAGACTATTGCAAGGCATGGGTTGAGTTGGGCAGTAAGGTGGCTGTGCGAGAAATGCCACATTGCAGTAGGGTGTGCCTAGACAGTTTTTGGGTGATGGGTGGACAATGGCAGTAGGATTGTGGGGAGTTGACAGTGGCAGCAGTATGGGGGGTGGGGGGTGGTGGGGGTGTTGGCTGGACAATTTTAAGGTGAACGGTGGACAATGGCAGCAGGATTGTGGGAAGTTGACAGTTAGGGCATGGAAGATTATGGGCTGCAAGTTGCAGCATGGTGAGGGAGGTTAGACGTGTTGACTTGAGGGTAGGGATGTCAATAGGTCGGGTACCCGGTCCATTAAGCCAATTTTTACCCTACCCACTGAAAAATATTAAACTTATTACCCTATCCACTAAAAATCATTTACCCATTTTTTTATCCAACCCATGCCTATTATATCATACCCTGTCCATACCCATTAATTTTTTTTATTTAAATTGAAGACTTTTTTTCAATTTTTTTACTGTTTTTTTATTTTTTTACAATTTTTTGTCTAAATTCTTTTTATTTATTAAGATTTTTATTAGATTACAAAATAACAATTATTATTTTTATTATCATTAATATGTACTAAGTTGAATAATTATTATATTTTTTTATTTCCTACAAACTAGTTGTGAAGGATAAGGAAAAGCAATTGGTTATATATATATATATATAATTCTTAATCATTATGATGGTGTTGTGGTTCAGTGAGTCCATTTAATTAGATAGCCAACTTTTAAGTTTTTATAGTTAATTTCATTTTTAAAAGCAAATTGCGTAATAAAAAGTAAGAGTAAATTATAAATTAGTTTTTTGAATTTTGAGAAATGAATGAATTAGTCTTTTCTTGTTTTAAAAATTAATTATTGAGTCCTTTTTGTTTATTTTATGTTTTTTTGATTTTTTTTGTTTTTTCAGTTAATAAATAAATAAATAGGTATTATGAAAAAATTGATGAGAAAAAAATAGTTTGGATCATCCATCATTTATCTGCTTTCTTTTCTTTTCTTTTATTTTTTAATCCTCTCCTCTCCTGGAATAATAGAATGCTACACGTGCAAATATTGGATCTGATTTTGTCAAGTTAATCGATGGCATGTGATCAACAGCAAGAAATTTCATAATTCAGAATACATTGCCATTTGCCAGCCTATTTTTTTTTCTTTTTTCATTTCTTTGATAATTCAAGATTACCAACCCAGGTTAAGCCGGATTACAGCTCAAAATGAGATTTGTTTAGGTATCCGATCATACACTGATACATAAGAAAAGGATAAAAAAATGTCGAAAGTCATCCAAAGCTACACTGCAACTATTCATTATATAGAGTTTTAGTTTTCTTTCTTTTTTCTTTGTTTTTCTTTTTAAAAAATTTATTTTGGTCCTTGAAATTAATTTTTTAATATAATCATCTATTTATAAGTTTTTGGGTCTTTAAAGTTTTTATAAAAACATTTCAATCCATACTTTAAAGTTCATGCAATTAGGTCTATATATATTATTTTTTGTTTTTTTTTTCATTTTAAAGAAATAAAAAAGAAAAATAAATAAATAAATAGATATTATGAAAAAATTGATGAGAAAAAATAGTTTTTATAATAAAAATAATATTAAATTAAATATTTTCAACACTAATCAATAAGACTATATAATTACTTTTAAGATAAAAAAAATATTGATTAATTCACAAATATTCTGTTTGGCTTTAATTAATATTCTCCTTTGCATATATAATTGTACCAAAAAAAAAAAACAAACATAAAGATAGCTTTGGATTATTTGTGGTTTTCGTTTTCAAATTTTTGAAGACAAACTGAGAAAATTTGTTTTTTTTTTAATTTTTGTTCTAAGAAAATCAAAACTGACAATTAGCAACTATTAAAAATGGTTTTTGAGAAATTTTGACAACCAAAAACAAAAGCACATGCTTTTTTCTCCTTTTTCTTTTTTTGTTTATTTTAAAATTTTATATTTTAGTATTTTTTATGTTAATGGGTAAAAAATGAGTATCAATAAGAGAAAAAAGAGTATTCATATTCATGAATAAATCATCCATTAACATAAATAGATAATATTATTTTATTCATATTTAGTCTATTACTAATAAGTATTTTAAAAGAATAATTAATAGACAGACTGTTAGGGTACCTATTTTGTACTCGTACTTGGGGAGAGGCAGCAGGTTGCAGGACAAAAGGAGGGTAGAGCAAGTTGCAAGTTGGCTTGGGAAGATGGCAAGAAACTGCACAAAAATGCAAAAGAAAATTGAACGAGATCCCTACATCTCTGTTTCTTTTTTCGTTTTTTTTTTTTTTTGTATTTTTGTTTTGCATTTCGTCTATTGTAATTTTTTTTTTCTGGTATTGAAATCTAATATCAATAAAGAACATTTAAAAAAAAAAAACAACATGAACTAAATAATAAAAATAAAAGAAACTAAAATTAAAGAAGAAATAAAAAAAAAACAAAAAATGGATAAAAATAAAATACCGGAAAATTTTGGGGTATGACAGCTTTTGACGTTCTTTCATTTGCAACAACTAACAAAGCAAGATGTTTCTAACATAAAATGTATGAGCTTTCTGGCTCTGAGAAATGATCTAAATAACACGAGGGATCAGATAGTAGAGACAAAAGTAATCCCAAAGCCCCTCCTACTTCATATGGATGCATAGCAACACTGGTTGGATTCATTATGAAGTGTCCATTATTTTTAGTTTTGGACAGTTAGCATTCTATAATGTTCTTAAGCGGTGTAATCATCGTCAATGCTGGAGCCTAAAGTCAATGTTGTTTTTAAAAACAGCAAGATGCCAATGACTTTTGCTGAATATAATAATGGACATATTGTACCACAGCAGGTTTTAAGGCAATACAAATTTATTTATTTATTTTCAACAAAAATAAGGCCATGTAGATCAGAAACATCATTCACCCATAAAGCAGCAAGAGATGAAGACAAAACCTGATGCAATCTGTGAAACTTCATTCTCATTTCTGCCAAAAGCACCACACAGCTGTTTGCCACAAAGATGTTGAGAAGCACCATCAGCCACCATCTCCCTTAAGGTTCCGGCATCAATTACAACATTGACCTGAGGAGAGCAAGTTTGTTTTTGAGACTCGTGTGTAAATTCTATTTCCATGCATGAAAATTGTAACCTCGCACATGTAGGACACATCAGATACATGAAACAGACTTGCCCATACAGTATTTACATAGTAACATAAATGGCATGCAGCACTTCTTTACATAAAAACGAGGGAATATACCCAATTAAACCCCTTCCCTAGCACTTTGCCAAAATAGCAACCGAGCTAAAAGAGACTATGGTGAGCATATTTTACCAAGATACAACATCCCATTAACACTCAAGATGCTATAATGCAAATCAAGAACACAGAAACACACAGTAGCACCAAATGGTGGCATATAAGAATATGCAGAATGAAGGAAAAAAATTAACATGGCATGACAATTTATTATACTTGAAACCTCAGAAAAATTAGATCAAAGACAGAAGTCCACCATGTAAAGTTTTCAGTATGTACGAGCATGAATATAATTTATCATGAGTTGATAAAAAGAAGTGAAAACTAACCTTAGAAAGCACTTACGAGGTAACAAAATCTAGTAGCCAACATATACTGCAGCATTCACTATGTAACAGTCATCATTCTTGTCTCCCATTTCTTCAACATACACACCACTTGAGCATACCAGTCCACCATCAACAACTTCAAATTTCACAATTTTTCCGCTGCATTCCATAGAAAGATGCATGTTAGAAAACAATGATTGGTATATTTCATAGGTTGGTTGTTTTGGTTGTTGTATTGCGAACCGCAAAGTTTGAGGGAATAAAATTGCAGATATTCTTGAAGGCCATATGAGTAAGATATCACAGTATCGCCTACTAATTGAAATCATGAACACCGTGATAGATTCTAGCTTTTGCATGATAACAAAGTTGCTGGTGTTCACAAGACAACATCACAATGAATGCATGAATTTCAGGTATTTCCTAGAAACTTTAATCCATCGCCACCCTTAAATTATGTATTACGAGTAATTAATAGAAAGGTGATCATATACTATGAAGATATCTCTGACGTTAGATAGCAATTGCAAATAGGAGATTTAAAGTAGGTCTTTTACAGACAGGTACATAATGAACTTGTGATAAAAAGAACCAAATAACTTAAAAAAGATACCTTTTATTTGAAAAATTTAATTCCACCACATTTATACAATGTGCTTGTATTAAGTATTACCGTACACTTAGCTATGTCAGACAAAAACTTGCTTCTTTATAATTCCATCTTTTTGTTCGTAGTTAACTAACAATTAACACTTACAAACTGAGCAAAGGTTTAGCTAGAGTGATATTAAATAAAAATGAGCTACATGTCCAGTCATGGGATCCACCAAAAAGCTAGCTAATGTCTTCAAGCTGCCTACAATTTTGCAATAATAACTCTTATGTGACATAGTGGACTTGTAGTTAGAAAATCCCTGTTACAGCCGCTGCAAGCTATGCAATGACGTTACAGACTTCCTGTCAAATTTTGTTTTCTACTTTTGCTTCAAGCACAAAAAGAGAACAAAACAAAGAAAAGAAAAACAGAACATTATTTCTCAACAAACAGGAGAATGCACAATGCAAGGCATCAAAGAAGCAATAACATTAGATGATGTTTCTAACATCTATAAGTGTTGATACTTTATACTTACTAAGGGAAGACAGACTTCACCCTCTCAATATCCAAGGATTGTTGTAAAGAATGGGGGATTCCCAGTTTGACCTCTAGTTTCATTTGCTCAAACGTGACACCTGGTATGGAACCTGCACCATTTCGTCTCGTTATAGCATATTTAACAGTTGTCACAGCAAAGGCACAAAGCAATCCTGTTAACAATCTGTAGGTTAAACTGATAAAAAAATAATAAATAAATAAATAAAAACCCTCTCCTGGTTTGTGTCTTGAGCTAAAGACAGGAAATATTTCAAGAGAAGCCCGTAAAGAAACCTCAGCAAATACAATTATAGCCTTCAATGAAGGTCTGGCTGCCATGCAATAAAAATTCAGTGAACGACATCATGCACAATACATGAAGCTGTGTTTATAGAATTTTGATTGTAAGTTGCAAACTGGCAGATAGTTTTAAGATTCAATACATGATGATTTTAAGTGTATTGAGTTCTGACTTCATCAGGATATGACATCCATTCCAAAGCAGACACTGAGTGCTTTATTCTCATAATAGGAAGTTCTCAACAAATGAAGGATACGGAGAAAGATCCCAAAAATAGCAATATTTGTTTCAGAAACCATTGAAATTATATCTAACATAAGGATGCCACTGATGCGATCATCTTCCCAATACTTATCTCAATCTGAAGCTTCCAAGGCTTATTGAATTAAGATCATCCTCTCTTAGTATGGAACCTAACTAGGGAGATAATTTCCACATTCTAGTAAAGCTTTCCCTCTACTTTCTTATTCCATTCCATTTCATGCTATTCCAATCAATTGTCTTTCTTTCTTTTACTTTTAGAACTCATTGGTGGCAAAAAATCCATCATTTGCAGTAGTTTGTGAAACTATGGAAGCCCATTCCAAGAACAACATACAAAGCAAATTCTCACATCTCAACTAAAACTATATTTCAAATCTTTGCAATCTCATGCCACAAGCATCACAGTCACGCACAAATACACATACATAGATATAATTAATAACAGGAAAAAAAAATTTCAAGAACATAAAGTGATAACTCATATACCTCTGCGAAATGCAGGAATTGAATTTGAAGATATGGCATCCCTGCATGCACGCATTGCCGCAGCAGTAACATCTTGCCTGTAGGGATCCAATTTCCGACCATTAAAGAATCGGACTTATCTACACATAATTCTAAGAATTGAAGAAATCTTGGATGGGTATCTATCAAATATGCCAAAAAAAAAAACATAGACCTAAACCAAAAGAGCTAAAAAGGGTCAGAATTTTTACACACCCATGTTGATCATAGCCAACACCCATCTCCACAAACAAGAGCTTCATGGGTTCATTTGAGCTGGTGTTGGCTGCACTTCTACTCTGTTCGGCTTCCATGGAAGTAGCGACTTGGCGAGGAAATCGAGGAGGTTTGAGAGAGAGGTATGGTTTGATTGGATTTGATGGGTGATTCTTTGGAAAGTGGCGACCAAGAGACCGAAACTCAGTGAAGGAAGACAGAAGGGGAAGATTTAGGACTAATGCAGTCATTTCGGTTGCCAAAACAACAGCGTATTTTGTGTCCAGGGCTCGAGTCGTAACTCGTAAGCAACTAAGCGGATTCTAGGCCCTCCAAAAAAAAAAAAAAAAAAATTAAAGTAAAATAAAAAAAAAGGCAAAGCATTCTATTCTATTCTCCTTCTAGGTAATTAAAAGAAGTAAACATTTCACTGTCCACTCACTATATCATTAGACTCAATGCACCATGGACGGCTTTTCTATAATTTTTTATATTTTGATAGATCAAAATTATGTAATTATTTATGTTTTGATCCCTGTTATTTTTTTATGAATATTTTTATCAATATCTTCGTTTGCTTATCCATTATAATTCCTAAGTGTGGAGAGAGAGAGAGAGAGAGATAGATAGATAGATAGAGGGAGGAAGAGAGATACGAAAAAAAAAAAGAAATTACAGGCTAAGTTTATTTAAATCATTTTGATTTAAAAAAATTCGTTAGATTTTTTTATCTTTGAGATATAAGTTTGATTATGATGGTTTTCAGTCATTAAAACAATTAGAAAAAGTAGATTGAAGCTAAAAAAGAAAAAAAAATTCGGATTTGATTATGTATTTTTTTTTATACATGAAAATAATTTTTAAGATTTTAAATATGTTTATTAGCTTTATTCTAGTTATTTAGAAGTGTTTGAAAAAAAAATGTCAAGATTCAATTTCTAAATATCTGAAAATTGACTCTCGATTTTGGACGAACTTTCCGACGGCCTCGAGGTCGCCGGAAATTGCAAAATTTTTTTTTTTTTTCGGTTGGTTGAGCTGGCGCCCAGGCCTGACGCGCAGGCCTGAACTGCCCTGGCGCCCAGGCCTGTTCTCTCTCTCTCTTTGTGCGCGCGCGTGTATATATATATGCTCTAGCCTGTCCTGCTCACAGACCACCAGGCGTCAGCGCTGACCCTCGTGTTTTTTTGTTTTTTTTTTTATCAAAAGTTTAGCACTTGGCTTGCAACGGAGAAATTTAAAGCAAGCTTCCTACCAAAGCAAAATATCACATGCATATTGCTATATTCTGCGCTATACGGTTCTCTAATTTTTTTCAGATAATGTTAAGCATTTTCTTTCTATATATATACTATGAAATATAGAGGTGTTAGAGACTAATATAAATTATATTCTAGTGACCTCACTTATCAGCTTAACCTTTTAGGTGAGATGGTCCTTTAATATGATATCGGAGCTCAGTTGACCTTGAGGTCCCGAGTTCAAGTCTTACTATCCTTAATTTCTCAAATATTAAGCACAAGGCAATGTGGACTCGTGCAAGTTTCATGCCCTAAATGTTGGGCCTTTCACTTGAGGGGTGTGTTAGAGACTAGTATAAATTATATTCTAGAACCTCATCTATCAGCCTTAACCTTTTAGGTGAGATGGTCCTTTAATAGGAGGTAAACTTTTTTTTTTTTTTTGCTGTATAGAATTAAGTAAGATGATATCATGAGAGGCCCGAATGCTTCGCGTCACGAGTAGAAGATGAGTAAAACCAACATATATATATATATATATATATGGGTGTAAAAATATTAAAAATAATTTTTTTTTTTAATACAAGTTTGAAATTGATTGAATATATATGATATTTTTTTAGATTTTAATTTAAACATATATATCCGATTATATTATTTTTATTATTTAAAATTTATTTCTTCAATTATTTATTTCTTAATAAAATTCTCATTAAATTAATTTTTTGATATAATTTTATTTTTTCATAAATTTATTTTTTTAATATATGAATTTTGGAATAAAAATTTAGACCATCAATGTTCTATTTTTAAAAAATATATTATTATAATTTATACAATAAACTCTTCTTTTTTTTTTTAAATGAGTGTTTTATTTTTTAAAATATATCATTATAATTTATAAATTTCGAGATATAGAAAGAGAGAGCTAAAAGTATGCTTTAGATAGTTTAACTCATTTTTTTAAAAAAAATTAATAATCGATTAAAAGAATTCACAAGTTTTATTTGTTGTTTTATGTATATTTATTCGAATTTATCGTAACCAATTTTTTTATAGTTTTATTTTAATCTATTGACTTCAATACATTTCTACAATTTAGGTTTTTAAAAAAAAAATTATTTATTTTATATGTTCCGAATCTATTAAGTGTATATATATATATATATATATATATCCGTGTGTGCACGTGTGCGCGTATCATTAGTTTTGTTAGAAATTAACTTCATATTTGTACATATAATCTCAATTATTTGTTATTTATTTTTTTATATTCTAATTTTTTTAAATAAAATAAGTTAGATAATGTTTTGAAAGAATATCTCAATTATTCAAATATAAATTTGAATATACGGATTCGATTTACATTAATCATCGAAATAAAACTTTTACTCACACTACACTATACGAATTGTTAATTTTACATATATAATGGTTATTTGACTACGAGCATAGCACAAGTATTTAACTAGTGCCTTTCTATTAGAATTGCTTAATTTGAAAAAAGTGTCTACAAAATGACATCGTTTCAAGGAGGCAAAAAAACACAAAACAAAAAAAAGAAAAAAGACAAAATCCCTAAATTTACTCATATATTTGTGTTAATTACTTATTTTTATCTTTGTATTTTCACTTTCGTCACATAACCCTTATTTCTTTGATTTTATTTAATTAACCCTTTTTTAAAAAAATTTGTGAAATTAATTTAATAGCTAACTTCTTTCAAGTTTGAAGGTTAACTATTCATGTGAATGTTTTATTATTAAATAATTTTCACTAAATAGATAATCTTTTATATTAAGATACTCGTTAAATTTATCAACTAAATTGTTATTCTCATTATTTTTTTTCAGAAAATTATCAATACATCCTCCATCAATATTGATTATATAATAGTTATTGATAATATATTGATTATATAATAGTTATTGATAATTGTTGAAGGATATAGTGAATGGTATATTGATAATTGTTTAAAAAAGTTAGAAATAACAATTTGATTGGTGAATTTAATAATATTCATATATTAATATAGGATTCCTATTACCAAATAAACTATCTTAAAAAGTAAATTAAAACATATTGATCTATACCATCGATTGTAACTTACAATTATTACATGTTAAAAACTAAATAAATCTATTGAAAAAAAAGTTATCTCCTCAAAAAATCTTTAAAAATAAAGAACGAGTCAATCTTTTTTAATGAAAATGGATATGTAGCATGTCGATCTATGTGGATGTTATATATATATATATATATACACACATGATGTTTACTTTTGCATGACTGCTTACAAATTGTCTTCTTTCTATTTCTTGAACAATGAATAATTGCAATCAATAGAAAAATAAAAATTAGAGAATTATAATTAAGAAGAAGACTCATTTAAAAACTTAATGAAATTGTGAAATGACAGTGGAACAAAGTACTGTGACTATCCAAATTATTTATTTTCTAGAATTTATCAGTAACATTTTCAATCTATATTGATTTTAGTATTTACGAATCTTGCAAGATTTTAGTATTTACCATATATAAAAATATACTGGAAGTTTTTCTTTTAATTTTTAAATAAATTACAATAACCTTCCTTAAATATCATGAAATTACATAACCACTAAAAAAATCGAAGATATTATAAAAAAAATTTCTTTATATCCAAAAATTTTTAATGTTAAGAGAATGATTTTAAAAATGTTAGTATCCAGGACGCAAGGTTTGGTAATATTTACTTAAACATGAAGAGATTTTTGTCAAATCTTTAACCTTTGGATAATTCTTGTAATTTTATAATACTTTAAAAAAATGTAATTTATCATTTATTTTTTATAAAAACTGAAATGGCAAAAACCATGGATTGGGCGAGCCCCCCGCCCACCCCCCGCGGCAGAAACCATGCATTATGTTTCCAAGGTGAGATGCACATTATTATTATTATTATTTGTTCGGTTTCGTTCTGTATTTCATTTATTTAAATTAAACCATACACATTAAGGAACAGTTATATTAAAATTCATATAATTTAAATATTAATTATAGAAACAGAAATAATATAAAAGAATAGAAATTAAAATCATATTAATTTTAATATGTCATTTTTTTACCCGTGTTTTATTTTCTTGATCCAAATAGATTTCTTCTTTTCACATTTTTATTTGAATAAGCTTATACCTATAGATGTGTTGGATTAGTAGTATTACCACGGACACTTATACTCCGTTCTGTTTTTATTTCATCTCCTCTTCCTCTGCATTTTGATGTGATATTTGCGTTATGATCTGAATAGTGCTTTGCTTCTCCTTTATTTACTGTAACGGATGCATATAACAGTGTGACGCCAAAAGCTTTACTTGTTTTTTTTTTTTTTTTTAATCTTCAAGGTATCTCGTAATCAAATATGCAGATTAATTTTTCGTTATTAGATTAACTTAATAAGACGGACATGATTATTTGAAAAAAACGCTCTAATTGATTATTTATTAAATTCCCACCTAGAACATACCCAACTCCATTACTAGGAGCTAATAAAAAATTATATTAAATTTTTTACTTGTTCATGTAATATATATTAATTGGCCAACAACTCATTTTTTCTTTCATAAAATAAGAAAATAAACACCAATAATAGATAGGCAGTAATAGTAAAGCCGTTCAAGCTTTGCAGTACTACATTCTTACATACAAGTTGTCTCTCTTGCAAAGGGCAAAGGCCCTTGCATAATAGCTTTGCATATTGCAATATCCTTTGCACACCTATATATATATATATATATATATATATATATATATATATATATATATATATAATTCGGTTTAGACAGTATAACATATAATAATCAAAATATTTTTTATATTTCTTTTGGACCAGTTTTTATTGTTTTTAATTTTCTCATTCTAACTTTCAGATTTCTTCTTGTTTTTGTGTAGATGTCTCAACTGAAATATACTACTATTAAAAATGTGAGTACAACCTTCAATTCCAAATAAAGCTCCATCAAACTCAAAAG